AGGTGGAGCTCCCTTTGGGGCCACGAAGCGCTGTGCTGGGTGGGGGAGACGCATGTGGACACCGCCACTGTGGCCTTAGGTGGAGTTCCGTTTGGGGCCACGACACGCATGTGGGCGCCGCCACGGGGCGCTTAGGTAGAGCCCGCCATGGGGCCACGCAGCGGTGTGCTGGGTGGGGGAGACGCATGTGGACACCGCCACTGGAGCCTTAGGTAGAGCTCCCCATGGGGCCACGAAACGCTGCGCTGGGTAAGGGAGACGCATGTGGACACCGCCGCCGGGGCCTTCGGTGGAGCTCCCGATGGGGCCACGAAACGCTGTGCTGGATGGGGGAGACGCATGTGGACATCGCCACTGGGGCCTTAGGTGGAGCTCCCGATGGGGCCACGAAACGCTGTGCTGGGTGGGGGAGACGCGTGTGGACACCGCCACTGGAGCCTCAGGTGGAGCTCCGTATGGGGCCACGAATCGCAGGGCTGGGTGGGGGAAACGCATGTGGACACCGCCACTGGGGCCTCAGGTGCAGCTCCCCATGGGGCCACGAAGCGTTGTGAATTGTTGCCGATAGTGATGGCGATGGCGAGGATGGTTGCGGTACCGAAGCTGATGGCGATGTTGGCGATGCTGATGATGATGACGATAATGGTGATGATGACGTCGATGACGTCGATGATGCTGATGGTGATGATGATGATGATGATGATGATGATGATGATGAGGATGAGGATGAGGATGATGATGATGATGATGATGATGATGATGATGATGATGATGATGATGATGATGATGATGATGATGATGATGATGATGATGATGATGATGATGATGATGATGATGATGATGATGATGATGATGATGATGATGATGATGATGATGGTAATGACAACGACGAGGACATGCAGAGGGCAGAAGCAGGGACGGGAGGAGGGAGGAGTGGTGGAGGAGGAGGAGGAAGAGGAGGAGCAGAGGAGAGGAGAGGAGAGGAGAGGAGAACAGCGGAGAGGAACGCAGGGCACTGTCTCTTCAAAACGAGGACCCCGTACCACAGGATGGTTGGGAAACAATGCCTGAATTTCTCGGGTTGCGGACAGGTGGCTTTCAAACTATGGATTTCGCCTTAGCGCCTCGCACCGTCGTGACAACAGCTGCAAGCGTTTCACGGATTGAAGGCGGCTCCTTTTCGAAATGGGAGTCTCGCCTGAGCGCCGTACACATTCGTTGTTGCTTCAACTGCAAAAGCTTCACGGTTTGAGGGCGGTTCCTTTTCACATTGCGGCTCTCGCCTTAGCGCAGCGCACATTCGCTTAGAATTAGCCTGCCGAAGGACCCAACCATATGCAGTTGCAGTTGTGGGTATTGTCTTCGGTGGAGCTCCCCATGGGGCCACGAAACGCTGTACTGGGTGTGGGAGACGCATGCCAACTTTGCCACTGGGGCCTTCGGTGGAGCTCCCTATGAGGCCACGAAACGCTGTGCTGGGTGGGGAGACGCATGAGAACTTTGTAACTGGGGCCGTCGGTGGAGCTCCCTATGGGGCCACGAAACACTGCACTGGGCGGGGCAGACGCATGTGAACGATTCCACTGGGGCCTTCGGTGGAGCCACCTATGGGCCACGAAACGCAACACTGGGTGGGGGAAAGGCATGCGGAATTTGCAACTGGGGCTTCCGGTGAAGCTCCCCAACCCAAGGAGCGATGAAACGCTGTGACGCAGGTGGACAACGCCACTGGGGCCTTCGGTGCAGCTCCCTACGGGTCCACGACATGCCGCGCTGGGTGGGGGAGACGCATGTGGACACCGCCACAGGGGCCTTACGTGGTCACGAAATGTTGTGCTGGGTGGGGGAGACGCATGTGGACACCGCCACTGGGGCCCTAAGTGTAGCTCCGTATAGGGGCCACGACACGCTGTGCTGGGTGGGGGAGACGCATGTGGACACCGCCACCGGAGTCTCAGGCGGAGCTCCTTCTGGGGCCGCGAAACGCTGTGCTGGATGGGGGACACGCATGTGGACACCGCCACTGGTGCCTTAGATAGAGTTCCCTATTGGGCCACGAACGCCGTGCTGGTTGGGGAAGACGCATGTGGGCACCGCCACTGGGGCCATCGGTGGAGCTCCGTATTGGGCCACGAAACGCTGTGCTGGGTGGTGGAGACGCATGTGGACACCGCCACTGGGGCCGTAAGTGGACCTCCCTATAGGGCCACGAAACGCTGCGCTGGATGGAGAAGACGCATGTGGACACCGCCACTGGGGCCGGAGCTCCCGATGGGGCCACGACACGCTGTGCTGGGTGTGGGAGAAGCATGTGGACACTGCCACTGGGGCCTCAGGAGGAGTTCCCTATGGGGCCACGAAACGCTGTGCTGCGTGGGGGCCTGCGGAGGGGGGCGCTTCGCCGTCGCTCGGCGGTCAGGCTGCGGGACCTTGTACGTCCAGGGCCTCTGACATCGACCCCTTCCGCGGTGGGAGCCGTGTCGTTGGCCCTCCTAGCCCAGGTTGGGTGAGACAGAGCACCGTGGGGGAGATGTCGTTCCCACTCGCACTGAGGGGGCTGCTGTTCCTTCCAGAGGGTGAGGGGCGCCATCCGTTCCTGCCTGAGGCCTTCCAGGGGGGTGCGGCAGAACTCTGCCCTCGGCGTCCCAAGTGTCCTGTGGCCTCACTCCGCTGCTCGCGTCCGAGTCGGCGAGCCTCTGTCGGGGGGGGTCTCAGGCCAGGCTGCGCTCACCCTGGTCCGTGGGGGCACCCCTCGTCCTTGCCGCCGATGATGGGCCTGTTTTCCACAACCACCACCATAAGTTGGAGGGGGGAAGGAGGAGGAGGAAGAGGATGAGGAGGAGGACGAAGAGGAGGAGGAGGAGGAGGAGGAGGAGGAGGAGGACCCCCTCCCCCACCAACTTCTGGTGGTGGTGGAAAACAAGCCCATCAGCCGAGCCGGGTCTGCGGCCTGCCTGGGCAGGTCTCCGGAGCTGGCTGGGCCCGTGTGGGGGGAGGAGGAGCAGGGGGAGGAGGAGGAGGAGGAGGAGGAGGAGGAGGAGGAGGAGGAGGACGAGGCGGAGGAGGAGGAGGAGGAGGAGGAGGAGGAGGAGTCCTGGGGGGGCTCCACCGGGGGCTGCACCGAGGCCAGGGGGGGGCCCATCGGCGGCGGGCTCCGAGTCTGGCGGGGCGGCCTCGCCTCGTGGCTGGCGGCGGACAGCCGCACTGTCGGCAGAGACGGAGGGGGGTTGGCGGCCCTGCCAGCTTGGTGCTGCCGCAGCAGCGCCCTCAAGAGTCTCGGCGCCACATGGGGCCGCCAGCCGAGGTGGGTGGCGGCTGACAGCCACGTTGCCGGAGAGGGAGGGCGCGGGCCAGCGGCTCCTACTGGGGGGAGCTGGACCTCCTCTTTTTCCGCCGCTTCGGAGTGGCCTGCTCTTGCTGGCGAGGGGGGGGGGAGCCACCAACTTCGTCTCCAGTCAGGCGGCGGCCAGCCACGCTGCTGGGAGGCACATCTTCTGGGGGGGGATAAGATCGAGGCTCGACTAAAAAGCAGCTAGAAGCGTCTAGAATTCTTCCCCCTCGCCCTTCCCCTCCCCTTCCTCCTCCTCCTCCTCTTCCTCCTCCTCCTCCTACTTCCACCTCCTCCTCCTCCTCCTCATCCTCTTTCTGCTCCTCATTCTAATATTTCTCCTCCTCCTCCTCCTCCTCCTCCTCCTCCTCCTCCGCAACTCCACCTCCACCTCCACTCCACCTCCATCTCCACCTCCCCTCCTCCTCCCTCCTCCCTCCTCCTCCCCTCCTCCTCCTCCTCCTCCTCCTCCTCATCCTCATCATCAGCATCATCATCATCATCATCATCATCATCATCATCATCATCATCATCATCATCATCCAATCATCATCATCATCATCATCATCATCATCATCATCATCCTCATCAACACCATATCATCATCAGCCTTCAATCACTCTCACCTGTTGCCACCACCACTAACCACATCATCATCATCATCATCATCAGCATCATCATCATCATCATCAGCATCATCATCATCATCCATCATCATCACCATCATAATCCCACCAACATCTCATCCTCATCATCATCATACATCACAGCAGCATCATCATCGTCATCATCATCATCATCAGCATCATCATCATCACAATCAGCATCATCATCATCATCATCACATCATCATCGTCATCATCCATCATCTATCACCATCATCATTATCATCATCAGCATCACGCATCCAGCATCAGCATCAGCATCATCATCATCATCAAGCAGCATCAGCATCACTAAGCCTCAGCATCAGCATCAGCATCATCATCATCATAAGCCATCATCATCATCATCATCATCAGCATCATCATCATCCTCATCATCATCACACAGAATCACCACCACTACCCACCTCATCCTCATCATCAGCATCATCATCATCGTCATCATCATCATCACAACATCACATCTCACATCATCATCACAATCACATCATCATCATCATCATCATCATCAACTCATCATCGCCACATCATCATCACCATCTCATTATCATCATCAGCATCAGCAGCATCAGGCTCACTCATCATCATCATCATCATCAGCAGCATCAGCATCAGCATAAGCATCAGCATCAGCATCAGCATCATCATCATCATAACCATCATCATCATCATCATCATCACATCATCATCATCATCATCATCATCATCATCATCATCATCATCATCATCATCATCATCATCATCATCATCATCATCATCATGATCATCATGATCATCATCATCATCCTCTTTCTGCTCCTCCTCCTCATCCTTATCCTCCTCCTCGTCCTCTTCTTCCTCCTCATCCTGCTCCTCATCCTCCTCCTGCTCCAAATCCTCCTCCTCCCCATTTTCCTTCCTGCTCTAAATCCTCTTCCTCCAAATCCTCCTCCGTCTCGTCCTCCTCGACCTTCGCCTCGATCATCGACCCTCCCGCCCGCCCGCCCCCCCGGCGCCAAGAGCCTGGCCTCGGCCGCTGCGTTTCCCGAGCCTCCGGAGGGCTGCTCAGCGGTGGGTTCGCCCTGGGAGCGCGCGTCTGTGGAGAAAGAAGAAGGGGAGGTGGGAGCAGCATGATGATGATCATCATCATGGTGATGATGATGATGATAATAATAAGAATGCTGGTGGTGATGATGATGATGGTTATGATGGTTATGACGATGATGGTAATACGAATATAAATAATAGAAAAAAAGATAACAAATGAATAAGAATAACAATAAGAAGAAACATGATAATAATAGAAATAATAATAATAATAATGATACGAATAATGATAACAAACATGATAGTGATAATAATTTTAATCATGATATTAATAATGATGATGATGATGATGATGATGATGATGATGATGATGATGATGATGATGGTGATGGTGATGGTGATGAGGAGGAGGAGGGGGAGAAATATGATGACGATGATCATATGATGATAATCAGCATGATGATGATAATGATGATGATGGTGGTGATGATGGTTATGATGGTTATGATGATGATGCTGATGATGATGATGATGATGATGATGAGAACGAGGATGGTGATGGTGATGATGAGGAGGAGGAGGAGGAGAAGGAGGGGGAGGAGGAGAAGGAGAAAGAGAAGGAGGAGGAGAAGGAAGAGGAGAAGGAAGAGGAGGAGGAGGAGGAGTAGGAGGACGACGACGACAAGAAGAAAGAGGGGAAGGAAGGAGAAGGACGGGGAGGGGGAGGGGGAGGGGAAGGGGGAGGGGGAAGGGGAAGGGCAGGGGGAAGGGGATGGGGAGGGAGGACGAGTAGGAGAAGGTGGAGGAGGAGGAGGAGAAGGAGAAGGATAAAAAAAGGGGATCTGGAGGAGGAATAATAATAAGAAGAAGAAGAAGACGAAAAAGAAGAAGAATCCGCCGGCCCTCTTGTGGGGCCACCAGGCTGTAGGGCGAAGGCTCGCAGTTTCCTGTACCAGTTGCAGCTTCCAGTTTCCACTGTTAAAGTTTTGCTTCTTGCTGCTTACTGTTCCTTGTGGACCTCTTGCTGCTTACTGTTCCTTGTTGATGGACCGCGCGAGTAGGGGAGGCCCAAAATGGGCATTTCTACCACGCCCTGAGCGTGTGCTCTGAATTGCTGGGGTGGGTAACAATTATCACCCCTCACGCAGATCGGCGCGGTCAGGTTCCAAAAACACATGGGATTTGCCACATTTCTGAAATTAGGCGGCACCCTCACACGGATCGGCGGGGTCAGGGTCCAAAAACACATGAGATTTACCACATTTCTGAAATTAGGCGGCACCCTCACGCAGATCGGCGGGGTCAGGGTCCAAAAACACATGAGATTTGCCACATTTCTAACATTCGGTGGCACCCGTCACGCGAATCGGCGGGGTAAGGGTGCAAAAACACAGAGGATTTGCCACATTTCTAAAATTCGGTGGCATCCCTCACGCAGATCGGCAGGCCCAGGGTCCAAAAACACATGGGATTTGCAATATTTCTAAAAACTGGCGCCATCCCTCACGCAAATCGGCAAGGCCAGGGTCCAAAAACACATGGGATTTGCCACATTTCTAAAATCCGGCGGCACCCCTCACGCAGATCGGCAGGGTCAGGGTCCAAAAACACAGGGGATGTGCCACATTTCGGAAATTCGGCAGCACCCCTCAAGCAGATCCGTAAGGTCTGGGTCCAAAAACACAATGGAATTGGCACATGTCTGAAATCTGGTGGCACCCGTGATACAGATCCGTAGGGTCGGGGTCGAAAAACAAACAAGTCCCGACACTGCTTCACGGCGGCGCCCAAACCTCATGGTTTAGCCTTTGCATCTCCCGTTATCCGAGACAGGGGGCCGGCGGCATGGGGCGAAGCCCTTACGGATAATCATAAGAAGAATGAGCTATGGGAAGAAGACGAAACATGAAAAAATAATAAGGATAATATTACTAATAATAATAATAATAATAATAATAATCATCATCATCCTCATCCTAATAATAATAATAATAATAATAATCATAATAATCATAATAATAATAATAAGACTAAAAGAAGAAGAATAAGAATAAGAGGGGGAGGAGGAGGGGAGGGGGAGGGGGAGGGGAAAGGGCAGGGGGAAGGGGATGGGGAGGGAGGAGGAGGAAGAGGAGTCAGAGGAAGAGGATCAGGAGGAGGGGCAAGAGGACGAGGAGGAGGACGAGGAGGGGGAATGAATGAATGAATAGTTCTTGGAATCCTGCCTTGGTCCACCTGCTGCTGCACTACTGCCCGAGCAATGACTGACTGACATCGTGGCCTAGAACTCTGAATCGGTTTACCCTTGCACCCCCCGAGACACTTCGAAATCGCAACCAGCGCGCTCCGCACGAAGCGGCACTGGCCGCCCTGCACCCCCACAGCGGGCACGCAGCCCTAGGGGGCAGGCCCCAATGGCACGGGAACTTCCGACCCACCAGCCGCCCCCCCCCCCCCGACCACTCACGCGCTTCCCCCTGCCTTTGGAGCCTGCTTTAGGCTGGGCTCGCGGGGCGTAGATGATTGGCGCGCGAGGGAGCGGGGCCGGGAAGAGGGGCGTCGGCGCACGCCTCGAGCCGAGCGGAGGGAGCATTCGAAAGAATCCCTCGGGCTACCAGGCCCTTAAAACGTTCGCTACCCGCGAAAACAGTCCTGGCCATGGACGCCCTGGAAGGGTTGAAAAACACGGTCTCAACGCCCCGACTTGGGGTCGTCCTGGCCCAGGCTCCGACCTCGAAACATCCCCCGTCAGACTTTCGCGGGCAGTGGGGGGCTCAGGCGGCGCCCTCATCAGAGGACTCATAGCTAATCCGTGGAGACCATCTCGCCCATCTGCCGCTCCAAGGGGCCACGAGGGGCCGCCCCCGACAAGCAGCTGCCGTTCTCCATCTCCACCAGCGCCTCTATGAAGACCGAGAGCGCCGCTCATATCTTCGTGCCCTCGTGGAACGCCACCGAAATGATGGCATTGGTCTGCCCCCTGTTCTGCGCCTTCAAGACCTGCCCCCTGAAGCACGGAATCGAACGGCCCAGCTTCGCCGCCGTGACTCCTGGCGCGAAGATCTCCTGCTGGTAGAACTCCCTCATCTCGTCGCGCAGCTCGATCGCCTGCGCGTCGCCGTCACCCTCGAACTGCTCGCCCACGCCGTAGATGATCGCCACCATCGCTGCGCGGGCGCGCGGTGGTCCGCGAGCCTCCCAGTCCACGTCGCCACCTTCGCGCTGCTGCTTCTCCATGTCCAGGATTGTCTCGTTGCACGTGACCCCCGCGGCTTCCACCGCTGCGGCCAGGCCCACGCCGGCGCTCGGCATCTCGCAGCGGCGGCACACCGCGCCCTCGAGGTCCGCGACGCCCCCGGCCAGCGCCATGGCGAGGCGCGCGTTGAGCAGCGCGAGCTTGCCCCCACCTCCGCCGCCGCCCCTGCTGCCCTTGTTCTTCCTCTCCTCGCCCCCATCGCCGCCGCGGCCCGCTCTCTTCCGGCGCGCCGTCTGCGGCGCATTGAACCAGGAGGGCGGCGCCGCGTTCCCCGACGCCTGCGAAGCTGCAGGCTCTCCCATGAGGCGCGCGCTCTCGAGGCCGCAGGGGCAAGCGGGAGCACCGGCGATCAAGTAGGTCGCCGAGGCCCGAGCCGTCGAAACCGCAGACGGGGCATGTGAACGAGGTGACTGGCTGGATTCCCCGAAGCGTCGAAGCCCCCATGGTTTCGCAATGTCCTCGAAACATAGAGCCCTGAACGCGTTTAGCTGCATTCGACACTGAACACAAACGCTAGTCGGCGCCAGGTCATGGCATATATTTCGGGGCCCGCGGGTGCCTCTGAGGCGGTTCATGAGATCCCTGCGAGTTTGGAAGCTAGCTTCGCATGGGGAGCCCCTATGTTCAGCATTTTCCGCAGATAACCAGCACTTCCACGGCATGTCAACAGACAGGAACGCCTCCCCGGGTTGAGCACAAACGGTGCCAGGTCGAGCTGGCTGAAATTCTGGCGAAGGGAGCGCAACGGCAAACTGCTTAGATCTGTAAGCTGCAGCAACCGCCGCACAATAATGGCGAGGCCGTCGTCTCATCCATTAGAAGACGGAAGCTCTGCGCGACCTCTTCACTGATTTCCTGGCCCAGCTCCGCGCCAACCTCAAGCAGGTCGCCACGTAGCTGAAAGGCCCAGGAGCACGCAGATGTGCTGAGGCCCCCTGAAGGTAAGAGTGGACCCTCACGCTCGAATGGTAGTTCCCCGAACGGAGCCCCGAGAACCGAGAGGCGACGCGCGGGCCGTCGGGCCCAGCTTTGGACCCGTCGAATTCGACGAATACGCATCTCCAGACGAGGGCCCGTCGGTTCCCAGTGCACCAGAAGCTCCTGATTCGACATCGCATGGGGATGGCTACCACTCCAGTCCGTCGCTTTACCCGCCATAGCAATACGGCAGAAACGCGCGAGAGTGGCCCTTAGCTTCCTGCAGTCGCCCCCTGCGAGCGCGAAGGCCCCCAGCCCGCTGAGAAGTGCATTGTAGGCGAAGCCCTGCAACAGTAGACGCCTGAATTTCCAAGGGGGCCCCAGCTACCAGACAGCCCTCAGAGATTTGAACGATGCCCAAGATGCCGAGACACGCCGCTCGACTTCATGGTGAGCACTATCTTAAAAGGCCGAGTGGGGTCCCAAACAGCGTACTTGATCCATAATCGAACCTTCCAAATCACGCCGCCCCCCCCCGCCGTGAGATTTGTTCGAGGTGCACCCTGTGGATCCTGCAGCGCACTATGAACTCCGGTTTCGACGCGTTCTGCATGAAACCGCAGGGTCCTAGTCTCTGATTCATGAAGACGCCGCGACGCCTAATCTCCCGGACAAATTCTGGCACAAAAAACAATCTGGATCGGCTAAGACGAAGTTGCGAACATCGCCCACGTACTTGAAATAGCTCAAATCGACCTGGCGACCGTTGAAAGTAGCGAGCAACTCCGCGGCGCAAGTCCTGCGCACGCCCGTCCCGGCGCCACTCCTCTATCGGCGGCATAAAGGTTCCGTTAAAAGCCTGAGCGACGGACGGACCCCCCATCAACCCCCCCTGCTGAGGTCTAAGTGATATTCCCCCACCCTCCCCAGCAAGCTAGGCCGCCACAGCCTCGCGGCATCGGGGTCGGCGCTGGCCGCGGCCCTCCAGCGAGCAAAATTCCTGCTCAGCGTCATCCACGCAGTCCCATTTCCCATTCGGGAAAGCATTACTCATGTCCTCGAAACATAGACTGCGCGCCCTGCGAGCTCGTCGCAAGCGCTGCGAAACAGCATTAGAACTCAAGATGGCTGTTCCCGTCTTCGGCACCGCACGAAGCCATAGTCACCGTCACCTGGGACGCAGCGAAGCTTGCGCGCCAAGAAAATACCTTTCCAGAGGCAGGGAGAACATGCACCACTCGTTTTCCTAGAGGCCCCCGCCTATGGCTCTTGCGCAGAGGAGCCCAAAGACTACAGTTCTACAACTTCGGCACCACTCCATGCGAACGCATCTCGTATAATCCCACGCCCAGAAGAAACCAGAACTCCTTCAAGGCCGGGGCATCCGAGGGATCTCCGAGATCCTGCACAGCCTTCCGGCGCCAGCACGGGAACATCATCATATACCACAGCCCCAGAGGGGGCGCCAAACATTGGAACCGACCGCCACTTCGAGGCAGCGCGGACGCACTTGCGCATCTGAGACAGATCCTCCTTCACAATGTCATTCAGCTCCACGCCCTCCTCGCAATTGCAATCCTCGTCGCGCCCCCCCCCCCCCCGCCGCCCCCAATCCAATTCCGCGCGCGCCATGCCCCCGCCCTTCCCCGCCAACGCCCACGTCTCAAACCAGCAGAAGGCATGCAAGAGCGCGCGAGTCGTCCGCCCCTCTTCTCGGGGCCGCGCCGACATGCGGCTGCTCGTCGAGCTGTGGCCATGGCCTCCGCGATGCGGCGCGCTTGCCAGTGCTCCGACGCCTCCACCGACATCCGCGCCCCCACCCCCCTCCTCGTTGCCAGCCGACGGAGCTTACAGAGACGAGCAGGAATATCACGAGGAGATGCATCTAGTTGCTCAACATCGCTAGAGCCTGACCGCAGCTTCACCTCGCGACAGTCACATTTGACACTGAGAGGCTGCCTGCGCCATTCCGAATACATCTGATACTCTGGATATGCTGTCTACTGCTTCGAGAAGAAAAAACTGCTCTCCTGCACTGCGTAAAATCGCCTCGATCGCCTCAGAGATTTCGCCGGGAGAGGTGCGATCCTTCAGCCACTGCGGGCGCATTTGCTGAAATTGTGCCTGCGCCGCTTCTAGAAACTCCAGTCTACGTTGCCCTGGGCGGAGAGCGTGCATCCTCGTATCCTGGCCCCAAGAGATCGAATCTGGCTCCTCCTCCTCCCGATGCTGCCCTTTGTTGCAGTACATATGAAGCCCGACAGGTAAACGGCCCCTAGGAGGAGGCCCCTTGATACACTGGAATTCCGCCCCAAGACGCCGAAGACACCCAACAGGTTTTAATGAGATGCCGCATCCCGGGAGGACGGCACACGCAATCAATCCTGGAATTCGTTTTGTACTCGAAGAAAGTGGAGGCAACAGTAGCCCCAGTCGTGTTAGGAGCCCAAAGATTGCGTTGTTCCAAAAGCTCCCGAAATTGATGCCCAGTTCCGTGGCGAAGCCGTTCGCGGTTTCCCGAACCTATCGCATCCGAGTCACAAGACACCCACTGCCCCTCACAGAACGCCCGTTCCGTCATTGAGATCCGCATAAACCAGCGGGGTGCACCGTACTGGGAGGGAGTCCAATCTGTACTTTAGTCACTAAATTAGAATGCCCGTTGCACAGAAGTAGGCGCCCCTCGTTCGTCGGGAAGCTGGCTGCGGGGGAAAGGAGACGCTCACAGTACAAATGTCGAGGGCCCCCTTTTTGATCCTGGCGGCGATCTCCCGACCAAGCGCCTGCGAAGGACTCCCCCCGATCCTCTGGACGTGTCGCTCTGTGGCCCCGTGTGGAAGCACGATCGCACACCCACACGAGGTGTTAGAATACGGAGCCTTGCCGTATGGGGCTCGAGCACCATCCTATTCAGCACAATCCCCTTGAGCGGGTCACCCTTCGTGTCGCGGTCGGGGCCGTTTCTGGTCCGTGCCAAGCCGATCGCGTCGAAGTTTCTCACCTCCTGTACTATCTCCTCCATCCGAAAGAACCCCGCTGAAAGCGGGCTGAAGCCCAAGAATCGCAACATGGGAGAAGCCCCCGCCGCGGGCTGCGAGTGTGGCGGGGACGGTGGGGTTGCCGTACCGAAACTACAGAATAATGTGTCGGCCCCGCCCGAAACAGCAACCTGAACTTCGGGGGCTACGAGGAGGGGGATGAGGAGAAGGAGGAGGAGGAGGAGGGAGAGGAGGAGGAGGAGGAGGAGGAGGAGGAGGAGGAAAAAATGAGTAGAAGGGGGAGGAAGGAGGACGAGAAGGAGGAGGAGGAGGAGGTGGATGAGGAGCAAGCAGCGGAGCACGAGCGGCGGCGAGGGCGCGATCCATGGCTGAGGGCCAGGCTGCAGCGACGCTGGCGGAGGCGGTAAAGGAGAAGGAGGGGGAGGAGGAGGAGAAGGAGGAGGAGGAGGAGGAGGAGGAGGAGGAGGACGCTGGCGGAGGCTGGCGATGGAGGGGGAGGAGGAGGAGGAGGAGGACGAGGAGGAGGAGGAGGAAAAGGAAAAGGAGGAGGAGGAGGAGGAGGAGGAAAGGGGAAGAGGAGGATGGAGAGGAGGAAAAAGAGAGTTGGCGGAGGTCGGGGCGGCCGCGGAGGTACCGCAAGAAGACATGCTGCCCTGACGGGCTCGCGCGCCAAGCCGTAAGGAGGAGGGGAGGAGTGGCGGAAGGCTCGCGGATGGTTTCTCCGCAGTGTTGTCTGGGGCTCTTCAGGACCATTCTGCGGAGGTTAAATCCCCTGGCGCCCCCCGGCGGTCACCCGACTGTTCTGCCAGTGTCCGCCAAGGTGCGCGCTGGACGCTCCATCTCCCCTGTACGCCAAACGCACGGCGAGCCAGCTTCGCAGCCGTTGGGACCAGGATGAAGAGGAGGAGGAGGAGGAGGAGGAGGAGGAAGAGGAGGGCGAGGAGGAGGAGGAGGAGGAGGACGACGAGGAGGAGGAGGAGGACGAAGGAGAAGGCAGAGGAGCAGGAGGAGAAGAAGAGGAGGCGGAGGCAGGACAGAGGGAGGAACAGGAGACAAAATACATAAAAAAGGGGATGGGCGGGGGAGGGACGCGAGGAAACGGAAGGTGAAGGGCAAAACGAAATTTCGGACGTTTTGGTTGGCGTTGCGCGCAAGCAGAAGGGGGAAGGAGGAGGGAGGAGGGAGGAGAAAAAAGGAACGAGGAGGGAGCAGGAAACATGGGGAGACTGAAAGGGGGGAGATGGGGGAGGAGAGGGAGGAGGGCGTGGAAGGGGAAAGGGGGGGCCGCCCGAGACAGCGATAACAAGGGCACGACTGAAAGTGAATTCGCCTGGGGGCATCCCCATGCCCCCATGCCACGAGGAGACTATCTTTTGCGCGTCGCGTTGAAAACTGGGGCGCGCGAGCCGTGACATCTTCAGGCTCGGCCAGTGGAAATCCACCGCCGCCCCCAGCCTCTGACTCCGCTCGATGATCCTCAGAAAGCGCGTTAACACCAATGTGATTGCAGGAACCCTCTTCCCACGGCACTCGCACCTCTGTCCCGCGGGCTCGCGGGCCGTCAGGCGCACGCTTGCGCCGGGGCGCCATCTGGCGCCCAGCACGCGCCAGCTAAAAGGCCACAGGCCGGCCTTCGAGCGAGGAAGGCCGCGGGGCAAAGGCGAAGTGAGAAAACGCACGAGCACAGGCAAGGAGGGAGGCCAGGCGGGCTCCCGACGGAGTTCCAGAGGCTCGCAGGGACCCACAGCGCCCTCGTAGGGCTCAGTGGAGACCTCCAAGGGATATCTGACTCATTGTTTTTCTGTTGTAGCCTCGAGCATATCTGAATCCTCCGTCTCGGCAAATCGCACTCCAGCCGAAGTCCGTTATCGTCTCGCGCGATGTTCCTCCGTCTTGTCGGGCTTGTCGACATTCCTCGCTGCTCCCAGGGCCCGCTTCTCTTTCTTAATATTTATATGTTGTGCCGCCCCCTCCTGTTGTAAAATGATGGGATCTGTCCTCAAGTAGTGTCTGACATACTCCAGAACAACTCCTGCCTTTCTCCAAATATCCGAAAGATTACGCATACCGCCCACCCATCGTTGAACAGCTTGCCGCAACGTTTCATTCGACAAAGCTCCATCAATAGCCGTTCTCTCGTCGCGACTCAACCCGGATCCCTCAAGTAGTCGCACACTGTTTTAGCATATGCCAGACACACTCTCGAACGTCTACTGGCCAGGTCCTGACACACCTTCAACTTCCAATAGAACGCGCATCCATTCTCCAGCTTCCAACGAAACTGACAAATGCGATGCCTCAGCCGCCAGCGCTCTTCTGAAAGCTCTCTGAATCGATGCGGGACACAAGTCCATCATGGCAGCCTTGACCAATACGCCAGGCAGTACGAAATCTCCTGCAACGAACAGCACATGGCCTCTAACACCCTTGCACTTCGAAGTCCCGTCACTCTCGGGATTGACACTGGCGTGACCGGAATCGCACACGACGCCCACCGCTGCCTTTTCTAGGCGAATGCCCGTCGGCAACTCCCGAATGTAGTCCGCGCCGCGCTTGCCGTCGCTGATGGCCCTGTTGACCTTCACCTGGTCTGCGACGCACGGCGCGATCATTGCTCGTTGTGCCTGTCTTGCATGGAAAGCCAGGTCCGCATTTAGTTGGCGCGATCACCATGGCGGTCCACCCGTAGTCTTTCGTAGAACTGTCACCTCCAGATCGGCCAGCGGGCCAGCCACCCCCCCTTGCGCCCCTTCGATGCGCAGGCCGCCTTCGCATTCAAGACGTAGCCCTTCATCGCGACTGCAACACCCCCGCTCGGCAAACGCTGGATCTCACGAACTCGGAATGCGATGCCCCCCTTCTGCCATTTTGAGAAGATCAGCTCCTCGCGCGCGCGCAAGCCATCTTTTCGCATCTCGCCAGAACGCCCGCAAGAAAAATCATTCTTGAAATAGCACAGAGCTGGCTCCAGCACCGATTGAACCCATCCACCCTTCTCTAGAACCTCGCAGAAGCCCAACCAGAACAAACGGCCCGCCTCCACAAACCCGCATGCATGTATACGTCGCCTTCTTAGCTTAGCTCTCGGCAACTGCCGCGACTGCAGCCCCGGCAATCCTCCTCGAGGTTGACTGATGAAACCTCTCGACCGATGCCTCGCCCAGAATAGCAAGCACTCTCGATGCCCCCCTCAGCCCATGGTTCGGTTTATAACTGCAATCATGCGCAGGACCGTCGTCTCCGCTAGCCTCGACGCTGCAGAGGCATCTCGTCGATACTGTCCCAGGCTCATGTCCTTGAACCCCTGGGCTACAATTTGCGACGTCGCCTCGAAAACATCGCCCACAGTATTTTCACTCTAGTGGGTCCTAAGACACTTGGCCGAGATGATAAGGTCACTCTTGATGCTCCAGATCCACTGGCTCTCCTCGGTGCCCAGCGTCTCGCTCGCCTCGAGGTCCTGCCAGGCCTGCCACTCCTTCCCATCTGAACAACCTGGTCCAGTGAACAATCTCCGTTGCTCCTCACTGAGTTCTCTCTTGCGCAGCTCCCCGCTTCCCTTACTTGCGGCAGCATGTCCAACTCGGCACGCGTGCTCGACTTCATTCCGCTGGACACCGAAGGCTGACGACTCCTCGTCGACGCCACGCTCGCCATTGAGGGGTCGGCGGTTCTCGTGCGCCACGCAGGCCGCCTCCAGCTAATTGCCCGCGTCATCGCACACGTCAAGCGCGTCCTCTCTGCGAAATGACGCCGGCGCATTGCCGCGCCGTCGTCGACGCTTCGCCTTTCCCTCGCCAGCTTCCCCCGCTGGTCGCTTCTCCACTTCCGCAGCTGGATCCTCGAATGGTCGCTCTTGGCCTGGCACTGCCTGATGATCGCGTAGATCTGGGCCCCAGATGCCCCATTGGAACTTCATCGAGTCTTTGCGTTTCATCCACAAAGTCCTTCACGGCTTCCTCCATCGCGCCCTCTGGCTTCGAATGCTCGGGCTTCGGCGCGACGCCGGCGGCCCCTCCTGCATGGCCGGCGGGCCCCCTCGATGGCAGTTGCTGCTCAGGTACATTGTCCGCCACCGTGAATTTGGGCACCTCGGGCAAAAGCACCTCTGGCGGTGGCCGCCGCCAGACCACGTTGAACCCATACTGCGTCCTCGCGAAAGTCTTGTCGAAACGGTCACCGCGGCAGGTCAATGAATCCGCTGCCTCCAGCACCTCCCGCGGCGCCCATCAGGCCCGCCTCTTGAGCTGCAACGAGCGAAGTCCCCACTCCTTCACCAGATGCTTTCGCCAAACTATCCGGCGCCAACGCGATGGCGACGCCGAAGAGCACGATCCACATCGCGCGCTTGCCCTCGTGGCCGAAGACGCGCGCAACCCCACGCCAGCTGATGAGGCTATCGGGTCGCTTGCCATGCTCGCGCTGACCGCAGTAGCGGCCCCAGTCGCCCACGTTGAAAGACCCTCGTTCAGGTCGCACGCGTCGCAGCTCTGCCCTCTTGCCACTCCGACGCGCTGCACTTCGTCGCCCACTAGGACAGCCAGCAGTCGCGCGTCTCATCCGAATACCCGCTGCGCTGGTGAAAACCACGACTTCTCGCACGGCTGATCCCCATCGCGGCCTTTCGTGCGTAACCACGCCCTGCAACCTGCCTGGCCCACACGACTCTCTTCAACATGGCCTGCCACAGATCTCCGCGACGCCCCGCCTTAGCAACGCGCCACGCTGCCACCTTGGCGGCCAAGTCGAAACCGCAGCCGCGATTCGCGATGTGCTCGGAAAAGCTGCCAAGAAAGCTCTTGGCCCGATCCACAATGACTCCAACCTCCGGTTCTCCAGCCCATGACGCCCAACACAAATCGCCATCCTGTGAAGCTCTCGCAGTAGAGCCGCCACTTGAAAAGAACATCCCAAGCATAATGGATACAGAAGTTGGCACTCAGCCTGGTCTGTATCCTTCTCGGCGACGGCATCGGTGACCACGACCACGTTGAACTCATCTACCGATGGCACCTTGCTCGTCTCGTTCGCTGGCAGCGCTCGCAAGAGAACAGCCTGCATGCTTCGACCGCTGCCTCCGATGCTCTCGAAAGACGGAGTGCTCGCAACATCTCGACCTTCGACGCGTGCCCGAGGTTCTCGCCCAGTCTCCTGATCACCACATCAAGTTCTCGTGGGAGTTGGCCCCATCGCCGCACTTTGCGCGCGGTCTCCTTGCCCCCCCCCTGGCCCTCGTCATCGCCGATCTCCGCCCCGTGCACCATGATAACAATATCCGCCCCTGCGATCTTCATGACTCGCTGCTGCGGTGATACGTTTGTCCAATATTCCCATCCAAGCTCCCGCCAGAAACCGCGTTCGCCCTGGACGCAAGCTGCACGGGTGCTTAAGAGGCATGACGGCGCGGCTCCACCGCCAGCAATGCACGCGGGTCCCGTCTGATCATCAGCACCTTGACCGTCGCAGGTGCCTCCGCAAACTTCGCGATCTTCGATGCCCTCGCACTGGGGCGGTCAATGGAGCTCACCATGGGGCCACGAAACGTGTGTTTGTGAGGGGTGTGCCGAAATAGCCTTCGAAGGAACCAGTGGGGCCACCAAACGTGTGAGGGGTGTGCCGAAATGTGTGCGGTGGCGCCATGCGGACCCTACCACTGGAGCCTTTGGTGGGAGTGTGAGGGGCGTGTCGAAATGGGTCCCGTGGCGCCATGCAGACGATCCCAGTGGAGCCTTCGGCTTGCGAGGGGGCTGCCAAAATGGATGCGGTGGCGCCATGCGGATCATCCCACTGGGACCTTCGGTGGAGCTCACGATGGGGCCACGAAACGTTTGAGGGGTATGCCGAAACGGGTGTGGTGGCGCCATGGGGACCCTCCCACTGGAGCCCTGTGGAGCTCTCAATATGCCACCCAAAGTGTGCGGGTTGTCCCACAATGGATGCGGTGGCGCCATGCGAACCATCCTGCTGGGGCCTTCGGTAGAACTCAGGATGGGACCACGAAACGTTTGAGGGGTATGCCGAAACGGATGAGGTGGCGCCATGAAAACCCTCGCAATGGGGCAGTCAATGGAGCTCACGATGGGGCCACCAAACGGGTGTTTGTGAGGGGGTGCGCCGAAATGGGTGCGGTGGCGCCATGCGGCCCCTACAACTGCGGCCTTCGGTGGAGCTCCCCATAGGGCAACGAAACGTGTGTGTGTGTGTGTCTGTGTGTGCGGGTGTGTGTGTGTGTGCGGGTGTGTGTGTGTGTGTGCGTGTGTGTGTGTGTGTGTGAGAGGGCTGTGCCGAGATGGGTGCGGTGGCGGCATGCGGACTATCCCACTGGGGCCTTCGGCGTGCGTGCAAAGATGGGTACGGTGATGTCATGCCAACCCTCTCACGGGGGCCTTCGGTGGAGCCCCCCGTGGGCCACAACACTTGTAAGGGGACGTGCGGAAAAAAATTGTTCATGATGGTGATAGTATTGATGCTGATGCTCATGAGGCTGATGAAGATGGTGCGGACAAGGATGGTGACCATAATGCGGGTGATGATGATGCTGCCAGTGCTGATGCTGATGCTGATGCTGATGTTGATGATGGTGATGATGGCGATGATGATGATGCTGATGATGATGATGTTGATGGTGTTGATGATGGTGGTGTTGATGACGATGAAGATGATAACAACGACGATGACGAAGATGATGATGGTGATGATGACAATGATGATGATGGTGATGGTGATGATGGTGATGATGATGATGATGGTAATGATGATAATAATGTTGATGGTGGCGGTGATACTGATGATGGTAATGCTGATGATGCTGGTGACGATGATGGTGATGGTGATGATGGCGATGGGGATGAAGCTGATGATGAATATAATGTTGATGGTGATGGCGCTGATGATGATGGTGATGATGATGAGTATGGTGGTGATGATGATGACGATGATGATGGTAGTGATGATGATGATGATGATGATACTAATGGTGATGGTAGTGGTAATTATGGTGCAGCTGCTGCTGGTGATGATGATGCCGAGGATGAGGATGAGGATGAGGATGAGAATGAGGATGATGACGATGATGATGATGATGATGATGATGATGATGATGATGATGATGATGATGATGATGATGGCGACGACGGCGATGATGATGATGATGATCATCATCAATGCTGATGATGACAACGACGGTGACGATGACGACGACGGCGGTGATGATGACGAGTGTGATGATGATGGCAACGACGCCGATGATGACAATGATGACGATGATGATGCTGATGGTGATGGTGATGGTGGTGGTGGTGGTGATAATGATAACGATGATAACGATGATGGTGAAATTGATCCTGATGATGATGAGGATGGGGATAAGGGTGAGGATGCTGATGCTGATGAGGATGCTGATGATGATGACTGCGACGACGACAACGACGACGATGGCTATGATGGTGAAGACGATGACGATGATGATGCTGATGATGATGATGGTGAAGACGATGACGATAGCGACGATGACTATGACGACGACGGCGATGATCATTACGAGTGTGATGATGATGACGATGATGATGATGACGACGATGATGATGATGACGACGACATCGATGATGATGATGACGCTGATGATAATGATGATGCTGATGATGGTGACGATGATGATGATAGAGAGCGTGATCCACCGCCGCTTTACTCTGGAAAATTGCCGCCCTCTTCCTCCGGAACCCGGCCCCCCCCCCCTCCGAAAATCCCCCCCCCCTGCTGGAACCCCCCCCCACTCCCCCGGCAAAACCCCCCTCCTCCCCTAACCCCCTCCCCCCTCGAAAACCGGGGGGGTCACTACCGGTTCGAACCCCCCCCTCGAAAACCGGGGGGGTCACTACCGGTTCGACCCCCCCCCCCCCTCGAAAACCGGAGGGGGGGTCACTACCGGTTCGAACCCACCCCCCACTCACCGCCAGCAAACGACTGTCCTCGCCACCGCCTTCACCACTGTCCCCACCACCAGTGTACCCTCCACTGTCCCACTGTTTCCACCTCATTCCCACTGTCCCCCCACACCACTGTCCCCACCACCACCGTCCCCACCACTGTCCACTGTCCCCACTGTTTCCCCACCACTGTCCCCACCACTACCGTCCCCACCACTGTCCCACTGTCCCCACCACTGTCCCGCTGTCCCCTCACCACTGTCCCCACCCCACCGTCCCCACCACTGTCCGCACCCCCCTCGGTTTTCGAGGGGGGGGGGGGGGGTCGAACCGGTAGTGACCCCCCCGGTTTCGAGGGGGGGGGGGGGGTTCGAACCAGTAGTGACCCCCCCCTCTTTTCATGATGAACTGGGGGGGGAGGAAGGGTTCGAACCGGTACTGACCCCCCCCCCCGGTTTTCCGGAGGGGGGGGGGGAGGGGTTCGAACCGGTAGTGACCCCCCCCGGTGTTCCGCCAGCAGCGGTAGAACACGCTCTTTCTGATGATAATAACGACGATGACGATGACGATGACGATGACGGTGACGGTGACGATGACGATGAGGATGACGATGACGAGGAGTAGGAGGAGGAGGAGGAGGAGGACGAGAAGGAGAAGGAGGGAGGAGGGGTAGGGGGAGGGAGGGAGACACGTGGCGCTGCTAATTCCAAACGAGAGCCCAACACCACAGGATGGTTGGGAACAACCCATGCCTGCTTATTGAGGCAGTCTCGGACGTCTTCTTGACGGCCTCGGGCAGCGAATTTGGGGCTTCGTGGGGCAGTCATGACTTTTCGTAAGCGGTCCTGGCGCTGATATGGGTCAAGGCCCTGCCCAAGACGGCTCAAATTCGGCGCTGAACCGCTCCAAGACTACCTTTCGCGCCCCAAGACGGCTCTCAGACGTTTTCACCTGACCCCAAGACGCCCTTGGGACGTTAAGAACCACCGACAAGGACTCCAACGGATCTCAACAGAACTCGAAAAAAACCCAACAAAACCGAGAGCGGCCCCAGCAGAAACACGGGCACTTCCCAGTACGGCCCCCTGGCAAGAAGACGACTGACAAACAACGGCCCACGACTCCCCAGCATCCTCCTCTGGAGAAACCAGAAGGTACGGATATACCGCTACCTATACGACCACCCTGCGGGTGATAAGGAGGTGAGGGGGGAGGGGGAACCAACGTCTCACTCAATCGATCTCGCTATCGATCTCACAATCGATCTCACATTCGATCTCACTATCGATATCACTATCGATCTCGCTATCGATCTCACTATCGATCTCACAATCGATCTCACAATCGATCTCACATTCGGTCTCACATTCGGTCTCACTGTCGATCTCACTATCGATCTCACACTCCATCTCACAGTCGATCTCACATTCGGTCTCACATTCGGTCTCACTATCCATGTCACTATCGATCTCACAATCGATCTCACTATCGATCTCACATTCGGTTTCACATTCGGTCTCACTATCGATCTCACAATCGATCTCACAATCGATCTCACATTCGGCCTCACATTCGGTTTCACTATCCGTCTCACTATCGATCTCACTATCGATCTCACCGACGGGACACCAGCGGGACACCGGCGGGACACCGCGCGCCACCGGCCGCCCGGAAGAGACACATTTGGTCCGGCCGCGCCTCAGCCACAGGGACACCGACGGGACACCAGCGGGACACCGGCGGGACACCGCGCGCCACCGGCCGCCCGGAAGAGACACATTTGGTCCGGCCGCGCCTCAGCCACAGGGACACCGACGGGACACCAGCGGGACACCGGCGGGACACCGCGCGCCACCGGCCGCCCGGAAGAGACACATTTGGTCCGGCCGCGCCTCAGCCACAGGAGACTTTCCTCTCGCCCGCCCACGCAGCTTCGCCTCCCCCGCGCGCACGGCACGCACGAACACGAAACCGAAATCGATTTCCCGGTAGGGGGGCTCTCCGTTCCACTTCGATCTCACCCCCTCACCTCCGACCCAGCGGACCTCTCCGAGCGTGCGTTCTGACAAGAATTTCGAGGTGAATCCAGCCGTGGCGACGAGGGCCTTCCAGGAGGCCCAAACACGCGAAAACGAGGGAAGGGTAGCGGTATTGGTACCTTGTCCTCCCCTGACCCTCGATATCCCCCTCCTCCCCATCCTAAACTGTCTCCTCCTCCTCCTCCTCCTCCTCCTCCTCATCTTCCTTCTCCTTCTCCTGAAAGAGACGAGACGGCGAAGAAGAAGAACGCGAAGAGCAGAAGGATGACGACGAGAAGAGCAGCAGGCGCGGGAGCGAAGAACGTGCCGCGACGGCGCCGTCCTCGACGCGACTGCAGCGTCCAACCAGGGGGAACACCGCTGCGGGTCCAGCGAGCAGTCCGTGCTGGCGGACTGCCAGGTCGAAGACTGCGGAGCGCCGGGCACAAACCTCTTCTGCCCCCGCCCCGTCCCCTCAATCCTCAATCCTCGCTCCTCGCTCCTCGCTCCTCGCTCCTCGCTCCTCGCTCCTCGCTCCTCGCTCACGGCTCCTCGACCCTCGGTCCTCGCCCCTCGCTCCTCGAGCCTCGCCTCCTCCCCGTCCCTGGCATCCACCCCTCCCCGTCATGCCCGTGCACTGCCCCCCCACACATGCTCGCCTATATCCGCCTGCCCGCCCCCCCCCCGCCTGCTCATTCTAATCCCCATCCTCATCCCCCCATGTATGTTCTGCTCTGCTCGCTGCAAGTGGCCTGTGATTCGCACAGCTCTGCCCGCCGCTGTTCGGGAGCAGGGGAAGCAAGCCAAGACCGAATTCTGCTGCCAGAGCTTCGGCAAGGAAGGCAGACCGCAACCAGCCTGGCAACTGCTTCCCGCCGGAAGAATGCTGTGCTATGAGCGCCGCCCCTGCCGCAGAATCGCCCTCCCCCGCCTGGCCACGTAGAAACTGCGAAGGAAGCGGATCTGGGCGTGTGCTTCTGTAGCTCGGCGAATGTGGTCGTCGTGCATGGGTATCCAATCGGCTCCACGATCCAAGGCATGATTGCCCGCGTTGTCTCGGCATCACGGAACCGTCGTACACCCGCACCAAGAGCCTGGATCTGTTCGGACCAACCGTCTCAACCGATAATCCAATAAATATGCATCCACCCAGAACTTCCACAAGTTGTCGGTGACTAGTCTGAACACACATTCTCTTGCCAAAGATGCCCGTTGCTACTTCCGCGGGTCTGGCATCAATGATTCGCCGGGTCTGCGGGTATCTTCGGCGACAGGACAGGGATTCGCTGCGCCTGCAGGCGAACTCGCGCAGCATCGGCGACAGGTAGACCCCACAGCCCGCGGAGCGACCCGAAGGAGTCCTGGAGTGTGCAAAACCGCTGCCGCTGGGAGGCGCAAGCGCTTTTGACCACTCGCCGATCTCGTCCACCAGATTCGACCCAGCCAGTGGCGAAGGGTCTCCCCGTGCCCTTGCCGGGTGTCTGCATTCGCGACTCGAGGGAGCCGGAGCATCGCCGTTGTCGACCGGGCTGCCGTCGCCTCGACGCGCTGCCACCGCTGCAGAGACTGGTACCTCCGCGCAGTCCGCACGGGGCTCTCGTGGGACTCCAATAACCACTCTGTCATCGCAACCGCGTCCTCCTCATCCATCATCACAACTGTGTTATCCTCCTCCTCCACTTCGTCCTCGATCCCCCCTATGCTCTTCCTCCACCTACTCCCCCACCTCCTCCGTATCCGTGTCATCCACACCCTCTACTGCTTGTCCTCCTCCTTTTCCGCTCCTCCTATGTCATGTGTTGATTCGCTTCAATGTGGTGAGGTGTGGCACTCCCACGCTATGCTCCGATGCCGCTGGGCCATTCGAATGACGAAAAACGCACACATGCAGAGTAAATGGTCAGAGAATATAATGCTATACCTCGTGATGAGGTCCGATCGCGCGTTCCAACGCTAGATGCTCTGTGTTGACCGTCTACTGGCAGACTTTGCACATCCTGGCCAGCCTGCATACCAGAGAAATGATCCCAGCCGCGCATGTAACATCTCCGCGCCTTCTGCCGTCGAAACTGGCTCTCAAGGGATGCCCCCCAAGCCCAGCGATGCCGACGAAAGCATCGTCACCCCACTTGCAGTCGGTGTTTCCGTCGAGCACGAAGTTGGGATGGGACGGACAAGGACATAGAAGTACGATATGTCCTCCTTTGAGGCGTGCGTCCGACCCGAACGAGCGGTGTGGCCAGAAAGCGCCGGCCACGACGCGTATACTAGAAGACTTCTCGGTGCGCGCGTCGCCCCTGGGGGGGGGGACGCACACATAGGATTAGTATGTTGGGGTGACGCTGACACCAGTGTGTGTTAAGTGACCGCGTGCCCCTCTCTACGAGCGGGGCCGTGTCCAGCCAAGGGCGACGGCCGCCGCATGCCCACAGTGGTCCAGAGCTCGTATGATCCGCACGCCGACGGGCCAGAAGTACAGCTCGACATCTAATCCCTTGCCAGCGAGAATATGTGGCGGATTCCGCAAATCCTGAACCCCAAACACGTTTTCATCTCTGGGGGGCGCATTTTCAATTTCCGCCGCCCTTGCGCCGCCCTTCTGCCGGCTTCTGCTAGCGTACGCGGCCCCGATTTACTTGCGTCGATATTCCGCCGCCCTTCCGCCGCCTTCCGCCGAGGAAGAGATGACAGCTCCTTTGATCCTGGAAGGCAAGACCCTTTTTGGAACGCCGCATGTCAGTGGTTGGTTGCCTGCAAGCATACTCCTGCGCTCACACGAACAACTGCGGAGAAGGGAGCAGGAAGAGGGGGAGACAGCACTGAGACCAGAGATGGGACGAGGGAGGGCGAAGCATAAAAAAGAGAGGATAATGGGAGAGGGACAACGTTACAAACGAGTTCGTTTCGAGTACTTCATAGCTCGCTGGCTGCAAGGCGAGAGGAGAAGGCGGCAAACGTTGTTTTGACTCGAGACGGGCTTTCACAACAGTCATCATGTGGATTCACATGTTCGAAAATTTCATATGTTGGGGAACTTTGCCGTCGACAAAGATTTTACTAAACAAAGCTGCTCAAAAATACGGTTCGTCAGCGCGCCACTGCGACATTATTCGGACAAAGCCGGACATGCGCGCCAGGGCGAGAAAGCGCGACACGCGCCCCGCCCTTCGCGGCACCGCCGGGAACGTCCGAGGGAGCGGTGCTGGGCCAAGGGTGAGGGAAAAGGCGGGACTTTTTTTCGTCGGCGGCGAGGCGGAGGCGATCCGCACCAGCGTCGGGCGAACCGGGGGCACCGGTAGGAAAATTGTCTGGCGCGCAAGAGTGAAGGGGCCCTGGGACACACAAATCTGGGTTTTTGTCTTCCCCCCCAATTGCCATATTTTCCTATATTCTCCTGGGAATCGACGATGACTTGTGTCTGCATGTCTTCTCCCTCCTGAAAGAGATGGGAGGGGAGGGGGGGCGGCCGCGCTGGGAGGGAGAAGGACAGAGGAGGGAAAAGGCAGAACAAGGACGAGAGGAAAACGAAGAAGCCCCCCCTGGAAGGCCCCCACGATGCCCCCTGTCCCCCCTTCTCCCCCTCTTGCACGCCGGCCAATTCGCCTATCGGTCGCCCCGGATCGCCGCCCGCTGGAGCAGCACTTCTGCCCAACCGCCGAAGTGCTTCCAGGCATCGCGAGGTGATGCAGTCTGCCTTGACTCTAGCGCCAAAGAGGGACCTGACGGCGCGCACTGGGCACGCCAGAAACCAGAGTGAGCGAGCGGACACATCAAGCCATGAGGCACACACAACCCACGAACTGCCTATGGCCAGACCCTGTGCAACTGGGGTATCCAACACCTGATGGCCTGAGAGATCCCAGGCAGTGTGAAGCTGGACGAATGCGCTCGTTTCGCTCTCGTCCGCGCGCAGCCGGGCCCTGACCAGCCATGTCAGGCAACCGCCTCCCTGCTGCTCTACCATTCCTCCTCCTCCTCCTCCTCCTCCTCTCTCTCCTCCTCCTCCTCTCCTCCTCCTCCTCTCCTCCTCCTCCTCCTCCTCTCTTCCTCCTCCTCCTCCTCCGCCTCCTCTCCTCCTCCTCCTCCTCCTCCTCCTCCTCCTCCTCCTCCTCCTCCTCCTCCCCCTCCCCCTCCCCCTCCCCCTCCCCCTTCCCATCCACAATTACTCAATAGAATACTACTCTCCCTCTTCCCCTGATGACGGTTTGAAAGTGCCGACGTCCCCCCGCGTACTGTTTTTTACAACAGGTTTCCCCGGAGTTGGGTTTTCGCCTGCATTTGTTTTCAAAATGCTGCTCTCGCTGAGGCGCCGGCCTCATTTTCGGGCCCCGCTCGTTCCGAATCGTGCTCCCGTTGCAGCGCTGGCCTCATTTCCGTGCTTCCGCTCGTTCCGAATCGTGCTCCCGCTGCAGCGCTGGCCTCATTTCCGCGCTTCCGCTCGTTTCGACTCGTGCTCCCGCTGCAGCGCTGGCGTCATTTCCCGTGCCATGCCACGGCATGCAATGCAATGCTAGGTTGATACTACGCTTTGCGGTGCTCTTCTACGCCATGCCATGCCGTGCTCTACAATGCATCGCGTACCCTTTCGGGATCATTGCCCTGCTCGACATCCGACTGTGCGAGTAGAGAGGGGATCTGCGCCATGGTAAGGGATGGGAGGGAGGGGTAGGATGTCAGATATGACGCGAGCGCACTTAGCTTGTCCTCCTCCCCTCCCCTCCCCATCCTCCCCTTCCTCCTCCTCCTCCCCTCCTCCCCTCCTCCCCCTCCTCCTCCTCCTCCTCCGCCTCCCCTCCTCCTCCTCCTCCTCCTCCTCCTGCTCCTCCTTCCTCCTCCTCCTCCCTCCTCCTCCCTCCTCCTCCTCCTCCTTCTCCCTCCTCCTCCTCTCTCCTCCTCCTCCTCCTCCTCCTCCTCCCTCCTCCTCCTCCTCCTCCCTTCCTCCTCCCTCCTCCTCCCTCCTCCTCCCTCCTCCTCCCTTCCTCCTGCCTCCTCCTGCCTCCTCCTCTTCCCTCCTCCTCCTCACTCCTCCTCCTCCTCCTCCTCCTCCTTCCTCCTCCTCCTCCTCCTCCTCCTCCTCCTCCTCCTCCTCCTCCTCCTCCTCCTCCTCCTCCTCCTCCCCCCCAGCCCCCTCTGGCCCAGACGGGCCGTCCTCGCGCGCACGTGGAGGGGGCGCAGCGCGGGGGAGCCGCCATGGCTGCGGCAGGGAAAGGACTACGATGAGTGCGGGGTCTTCATGGGCGGCGCCTGTGCCGCTCGCGCGACGCGCCCGCCTGTGGTTTGGGCCGCAGGCCGCGCGGCGCGCGTGGGCCCCGTGAGGAAGGTGGACAAGGTCGCCTCAGTGGTCGGCATGGTGTCCATCTTCCTCCATCTGCCTGGAGTGCGCGTACGGCAAGTTCCTCCTCTTCAAGGGGCCGGCTTGCCGTACTGAGTCCCCAGGGGGCCAGGAGCGCCTGAAGGAGCAGGTGGTGGACGTGATGATGCAGGTTGCCATCACGGTGATCTCTAGTGCTTTCGGCAAGATGTGGGACGCGAAGCTGGAGCTCACGGAGAATTCGTTCGAGGAGGTGGGGGTCGTCCACCAGTCTTCGATGATCAGCAGGGTGAGCGACCCGTTCAAGTCGCTCGAGGTTGAGTACCAGCCACTCTCTCGAGTGGTGGGTGCTCATCAGGCCTGAGGGCCCTTGGGGGGGGTCGCAGCTGCGAGGGGTACTCGTTGGGCTTGCTCCCCCGTCCTTTGTCTCGGGGTCCTGGGGGCCCCGCCTGCTGGCCCCACGGTACCTGGGGGTGGCTGCGACTCCCCCGGGGGCGGGTCGGCGGAGATTTTCGCTGGGCCATCGGGTTCGGCGTCCGCTGCTCGGCATAGGCTGGGCGGCGCGGCCAGCGCGCCAGGGCGGCCTCAGAGTCCGCCGCGTCATCAGCAGCCTCAGTCAGCAGCCTCCTCCTCCTCCTCCTCCTCCTCCTCCTCCTCCTCCTCCTCCTCCTCCTCCTCCTCCTCCTCCTCCTCCTCCTCCTCTCTTCTGATTATTATTATGTGTAGTCTTTCTTCTTCGTCTGGTTATTATTATTATTATTATTATTATTATTATTGTTATTATTAGTAGTAGTATTATTTTATTATTATTTTATTATTATTAT